TGTGTAAAATCAGTACAGCTGTATAGTATAACTTCAAGTCTGGGATATGATGCCACCTCCTTTCCTTTTGTTATCCAGGATTGCTTTTGCTATTCTGGGTCTCTTCTGATTCCATATAGGATTGTTTCTCTAGCTCTGTGAGAAATGACATTGGTGTTTTGCTTGGGATTGCATTAAATCTGTATATCAGTTTTGGAAGTAAGGCCATTTTGACAATATTGGTTATACCTCTCCAGAAGCCGGGGATATCTTTCCATTTACTGTCTTGAATTTCCTTTTCCAGAGTGATGTAATTTTCATTGTAGAGGTCTTTCCTTCCTTAGTTAGGTTAATATCTAAGGATTTAATTTTTTGATGCTATTGTGAATGGTATTGTTTTCCTAATTGCTTTTTCAATGTGTTCATTATTAGTATACAGGAATGCTATTGATTTTTGTGTTTATTTTGTGTCCTGGTACACTGTTAGATTTGACTATCAATTCTAGGAGTCTTTTGTGGAGGTTCTGGGGTCTTGCAAATAAAGAATCATGTTACCTGCAAATAATGATATTTTGACTTTGTCTTTCCTATACTTATCCCTTTTTTTCTCTTACCTGATCATTCTGACTAATATTTCAAGGATACATTGCTCAAGAGTGGTGATAATGAACCTCCTTGTTTTGTTCCTGATTTTAGAGGAAAGGCTTTCAGTTTTTCCCCATTTAATATGATGTTAGCGATAGGTTAGTCATAAATGGCCTTTATCATGGTGAGATAAAGGCCGTCTATACCTATTTTCTTCAGTTTTTATCATGAATGAATGTTGTATTTTGTGAAAGGTTTTTTCTGCATCTGTTGAGATGATCATGTGATTTTTGTCCCTACTTCTATTTATGTGATGAGTTACATTTATCAGGTTGAATCCATGAGATGAAACCTACTTGGTCATGGTGGATGATCTTTTTGATGATTTGTTGCATTCAGTCTTCCAGTATCTTGTTAAGGATTTTTACATCTATGTTTCATTAGAGAAATTAGCCTAAAGTTCTCTTTTTTGGTTGATCCTTGTCTGATTTTGGGATCAGGATAATGTTAGCTTCTACGAGTGATTTTCAAAGTACTCTTCATCTTTCAATTTTATTAGAAAATTTGAGGGATATTGACGTGAGATCTTCCCTGAAGTTCTTGTTGAATTGCACTGTGAACCCATCAGGTCCTGGGCTTTTCTTGGTCGGTATTTTTTCATTAATTCTTCAGTTTCCCTGCCTGAGACTGGATGATTCAGGATTTTTATATCTTTTTAGTTCAACTTTGGTAGTTCATATGTATCTAGGAATCTCTCTGTTTCTTCTGAGCTCTCCAGTTGTTTGGCATATCTGTTTGTAAAGTAGTTACTAATAATTATCTGGATTTCAGCAGTGTCTATTGTGATTTTACCTGTTTCATTTCTAATTGCATTATTTTGTGTCTTTTCTTTCCTTTTACTGTTACAATTGGCTATAGGTTTTATCTATTTTGGTGATTCTTTCAAAGCCCTTGAATTCACTGATTCTTTGTATTGCTTATTTAGTTTCCATTTCATTGATTTCTACACTGATTTTTATAATTTCCTTCTTTATACTCCCTCTGGGTTTGGATTGTTCTTGTTTTTCTAAGACCTTGAGATGCACCATTAGGTTGTTTATTTGAGCTCATTCTATTTTTCTGATGTGGGCATTCACTGCCATATACTTCCCTCCTAGGAGTGTTTTCATCGTGTGCCATAAATTCTATTTTCATTTCATTCTAGGAACTGTCTTATTTCTTCCTTAATTTCCTCTGTGACTGATTTTTCAAAAGTGTGTTGCTTAATTTCTTTATGTTTGCATAGTTTCTGTGGTTTCTTTTGCTATTGATTTCTAGTTTCATTGCACTGTGATCTGATAATATGCATGGTAAAATTTCGAAGGAAGCAGTGAGAGGGCAGAAGAGCCAGGGACACGAATATACCCTTCCAGCTCATGGGCCAGTGACCTGTCTCCAACCAGGCCCCACCTCCTGAGAGCATGTTCAGCTACTGAACTTGCAGATGGAAGAGTGCACTGATGAGTATAGCATCCCCATAATCCAAACACCTTCTACACAGAAGAATTACAGTGGACATTTTCAATCTAAATCATCACATCCTGCTTAGTCATTGAATCGGAGATAGACTATGGAAAGGGGATGGTGTGTCTTTCTACATTAAAGTTATCAAGTTTGCTTTAGTCTGAGCAGCAAAACTTAAGTCAGCCATTGGTTGCATTTTCAGTTCAGCACTCAGGTCAGGCAATTTGTAAAGACAAATTATTCTCAGGCTCTGCCAGTCTCTGGCTGTCTCTCTTTGACGTGGGAATGGAAGTGAATCTACACTGACCATTTCATAAATTGGAAGGAGATAGAAAAAAGTAACTAAAAGCTTTTTAAAAGCAGAGGTCAAATTTTAATTGACCAACCAAGAGACGTCATTCACTGTACAGATAGCTAATCTTTCACTGGTTTTTAAGGACAAAATTCACATGCTTTTCTTTTATATTTTCACCTTAAGGGTTTTCCAATAAACCTGGTCCTGGTAACCTGTGGCCTGGATTGGATGAGGATGACTATAATTTTAATAACAAGGTAAAGTGCTCTTTTGTGAATTTAATTTTCTTCCTCTTAGTTTTGCTTTGTATAGGGCTTAGTCTTAAAATTTAGCAGTGGCCTACCTACCATGGTTTTATATGAAAATTTTTTTTCTTTTTCCTTTGGTAAATAATTGGTACATACTCTGAGGTACTGGGGACTGAAAAAAAAGTAATGGGCTAGAAAATACATAACGACAGGAAAGTTGTATTAGGCAAAACTTTCTCACAATAGAGGAAATACAAAATTTGGTCAAGGATTATTTGGATAAGTATACTTTACTGTGAGTTTTAAATCATACTACCATGGCTTTTATAATACTCATGCCTAAATAAATCTTAAAATGGATCCTATTAGTCTTTATAATAATCATGGAATTTGGGTGCCTTTATTTTCAAAACTTTAGAGCACATAAATATATTTTTTTCTTAGGTAGTTTATTTCAGTATCATACAGTTTTTATGAGAGCTTTTTCTCTTGTTTCTGTTTTTAGATTAAAATAATACTAGAAATTGATTAAACTTAGAAATTTTAAATCTGTTTCTTAAAATTTGTATTACTAAAGAATTACAGTTCCTTTTCGTTGTTATTTTGTTTCTGGGAGTTGATCATAGGGGCTTTGCAATAAGCTACATCCTCAGTCCCCTCCCTTCCTGTCTGTCTGTCTGTCTGTCTGTCTATCTATCTATCTATCTATCTATCTATCTATCTATCTATCTTAGTCAAGGTCTCACTAAGTTGCCCAAGCTGGACTGGAAATTGGGTACTTTTGCCTCACCTCCAGAGTGCTAGAATTAATGTGCCACCACAGCTGACTACACTGTGTTTTCTAAGTCATTCTTCCGTTAAGAGGGTACTGTATTTAAAATTCTTCATCTGATTGAAGAATACATGTTTTACTCAAAATAACAACCAGTTCTAGGACTAGATACTCTCAATACCATATGGTAAAGCTTTAAGAAATTTTTTGCTTTATAGTTTTAAAAAATATCCAGTCAGAATCCTTGTATCTCTTAACATTTCAAGTTTTAGAAGTTTTTTTACTTCAAAATACTCATTTTAAACTCTTGCATTACTGTGAGCTACTAGAGATTAGGAAATATGTTTGTGGATATCCTGAACACTTGGAATAAGGTGTTTTGTATTAAGCAATACTTTTAATGTCAATAAGTGGATTTCTAGAATAAGTGCATTTTTATAATTTTACAAGCAGTGTATGCATGATTTATGTAATAGCCAAGTCTATTAAATTTCTAAAAATATGGCCTAAATTATATTCCCTTTTAATGTTTAGAATATATAATTTTGGGTGAGTTATCTTGAAGAAATATGTCATAAATAAGAAGGAAACAAATTAGAGGTATATAAATAGGAAAGAAGGTTCCAGTACATTC